TCTCTCACTACTCTAAAGGGCCCCTTTGGCAGTAGGAAACACATAGACTATTATGGAGATTGATTTTGGAATTTAGATGCACTCTTGTTGATTGAGAACCCAGATTTTAAATAGATAGTCCTTCCATTCACATGTCCTTGACAGTTTGTGCTTTTATTAAGAAGTAATTCTTTGAAAATCTTAACCTTATATGAGAAATCTCAGTTCTAGTTTATTGTCCTCACCTTCTGCCCTTGCATGGCTATTAAAAACCCAGCTCTCCTTCTCCCACATGTCAGTGGGGAACCTAACTGTACTTTGTTTCTCTTTGCATTTTGACCTTAGTAGTTAAAGTTACATATTTAAAGGATGTTATCTATTTTTCCTATTCATATAATTTCTAGATTATTTTTCCCCCTAGGTATTTTATAGTAGAAAGATCATGCTCTAAAAAATGAATGTTTCTTTATTGTTTGGAGAAGAAAGGAAAAAAACCATAATCACTCTATCTTAACAAAGTGGTAGCTTTCATGTTTTGTCCAAGTACATGTTTAAATCATTGTAATTGCTGTTCTGCCTTATTGTTGTTGTTGTTATGTGCCGTTGAGTTGTTTGCAACTCATAGCGACCCTGTGTACAACAGCCCTAAACTGTGCTCTATCCCATGCCAATCTCACTGCCTCTGACACAGTCATCCCGATTACCCCAGTCACTGAATTAATCCACCTCATAGAGCATCTTCCCCTCCTGCGCTGTCCCTCTACTCTACTCAGCATGATGTCCCTCTCTGAAGACCTGTCTCTCCTTAAAACATGTCCAAAGTATGTCAGACGAAGCCCCAGAATCCTTGCCTCCGTAGTGAAGTCATTTAGCTATTTTCTATGCATATTAATTTAATTTTATGTCTTCTTTTCTTACTAGAACAATATAGCTGAAGTACAAGAATTGCATTCTGAGTTAATGTGGAAGGATTTTATAGACCACATCAGTAGCCTTCTACACAGTGTTGAAGTAGAAGTCAGTTACTTTGCCGCTGGAATTATTGCCCATTTAATATCCCGAGGTGAACAAGCCTGGACATTGAGCCGTAGCCAAAGGAATTCTCTTCTGGATGATCTGGTGAGATCATTTGATATTTTCTTAAAACAAAAAAATGTTCATAATGGCTAACTATCAGAGCCTTATGCTGTAAAAGTGGAGTACTAAGTAAATATTATAATCTTTCTTATATCTTACAGCATTCAGCTATTTTGAAATGGCCAACTCCAGAATGTGAGATGGTAGCATACAGGTAATTATCATAATTATTATTAATTAACCTAGCAATATAATAAGTTTCTTGCCTAGAGATTATTTCATGTGTGTGTGTGTGTGTGTGTGTGTGTGTGTATAATTTTCCCTTCAGCTAGCCATCTTAGAACTAGCTTTAAATGAGACAAAGTATTTTGTCTTAAATGACAACTGCCAGATAATGTATACTTTTGAAAGTCAAGATGAATATGCCATGATACTTGTACATAAGAATCCTATAATCTAATTACATAGACCAAATATGAATCAGGCATATTTCACAATTATGCTATGAAATTAAAGATGAATTAATTTAAATCTGCACTGGGAAATCATAAAAATTATCTGAAGAAGGTGATTTGTGAACTGATTTTTTTTAAGATTAGTGACAGGAAGTTTTAGGGGGAAAACAGCAATATATCAATGCAGAGGGATGTAAAACAACATAACACATTGAGAGAGCTAGAAGTAGCATCATATTGTTTTGGGGAAACATTTTAGTCCTTTGTTGATATGCATACTTTATACCTAGCTATTATATAAATACCTTTTATAAGAAACATCAGTGCAGATTATACACATGAATTTCACCTGATGGTATGCACAGGAATCAGATTGATTACATCTGTGGAAATTCAGTATCAGCAGTGAAAACTAGGCCAGGTGCTGTATGAAACAGACCATAAACTGCTTATATGCAAGTTCAAATTAAAACTAAAGAAAATGAAATCATATCCACAAGAATCAAAATTTGACCTGTAGTCTATGTCCCATGAATTTAAAAACCAACTCAGGAATAGGTGTGAGTCATTGAACACTAGTGAACGAAGACCACAGAAGCTGTGGGAAGATATCAAGAATATCGTTGATGAAGAATGCAAAAAGTCATAACAAAGAAGGAAGAAGACCAAAATGAATGTCAGAAGAGACTCTGAATATTGCATTAGGATGCTGAGAAGCCAAAGCAAAGGGAGGGAATCAAGAAGTTAAGGAACTGAATAGAAGATTTCAAAGGGCTGCTCGGGAAGACAAGGCAGAATATTATAATGAAATGTGCAAAAGGCTGGAGTTCCTTCTTAAACTGAAAGAACCAAAGAATAAATTGAAGCCACGAGTTACAATGCTTAAGGATGCTATGGACAGAATATTGAATGATTTAGGAAGCATTAAAAGAAGATGGAAGGAATATTATATATAATGACAGAGTCATTATACCAAAAAGAATTGGCTGACACAGAAGAATTTCAAGAAACAACATATGATCAAGAAGCAATGGTGATGGAGGAGGAAGTGCAGGCTCCTCTGAAGGACTTGGCAAAAAAAAAATAAATAAATAAAGCACAAGGAATTGATGGAATACCAGTTTATGTATTTCAGCAAACAGATCCTGTTCTGAATGTGCTCACCTAGTTGTGCCAAGAAATCTGGAGGACAACTAGGCCAACTGACAGGAAGACCCCTATATTTATTCTCATTCCAAAAAAAAGGTGACCCAACAGAGTGTGCAAATTATCTAACAATATCACTAATATCACACACTAGCATAATCCTGCTGAAGATTAGCCAGAAAAGACTTGAACAGCATATGGACAGAGAACTACCAGAAATACAAGTTGGGTTTAGAAAAGGTCATGACACTAAGGATATTATTGCCAATGTCAGATGGGTCTTGGCAGAGAGCAGAGAGTACAAGAAGAATGTCTGTGTTTCATTGACTATGCCAAGGCATTTGACTATGTGGATCACAATAAATTGTGGCTAACCTTGAAGAAAATGGGAATCCCAGAACACCTGATTTGGCTTATGTGAAACCTGTACTTGGGCCAATAAGCAGTCTTCAGAACAGAGCAAGAAAACACTGCATGGTTCAAAATCAGGAACGGAGTGTGTCAGGGATGAATCCTGTCCTCATACCTTTTCAATCTGTATGTAGAACAGAGCATTCGGGAGGCAGAGCTTTATGAGAAGTAGTGTAGCATCAAGTTTGGAGTCAAACTCATTAACAACCTACGATATGCAGATGACACAACCTTGCTTGCTGAAACTGAGGAAGATCTGAAACACTTGCTGCAAACACTTGCTGTAGTCTTCAATATCAAGAAGACGTTGATTCTCTAACAGCGTCTCGGACAGATAAGAGATAATGTGATTACCCCTGCAGGCATGCATCTAAAACCTATATAAGCCTTTTCCAGAATATTAAAAATTGCTATTCGTCACTGGCAAAAAAAAAAAAAGAAGACATATATTCTCACCACTGAGCCAATTGGCAGCACCATAATAGATGGAGAAGAGATTAAGGTTGTTAGCAACTATAGCTTGCTTAGATCCACAATCAACACTCTTGGTACCAGCAGTCAGGAAATCGAAAGATGAATTGCATTGGGAAAGAAAATCTACTGTCATGGACCTCTCCAGAGTGCTAAAGAGCAACAATATCAGTCTAGGTACAAAGGTGTGCCTACTCCAGGCCACAGTCTTGTCAATTACTTGTTATGCTTCAGAGAGTTGGACAATGACTAAAGATTACAGAAGAAGAATAGGTGCCATCAAATTACAGTGCTGGAGAAGAGTCTTGAACATATCATGGACCGCCAGAAAAACAAATAGGTCTGTCTTGGAGAGGGTGAAGACAAGTCTCTTGGAGGATTTTGAAGCTCCATCTTACATACTTTGGGCACATGGCCAGGAGGGATCCATCTTTGGAGAAGGGCATCACTCGGAAGGGTGGCAACACAGGAAAGGAAGACCCCAGATGAGGTGGATTGATACAGTGATTGAGGCAATGGGGATTGGTGTGTCAGAATTAGTGAGACTGGCTCAGGACAGGGAAGGGTTCATCGCAGGTGACTCAACAGCACATAACAACAATAACATACCATGACAGGTTTGGAAGCAGGAGTGGCATCCAATTCCTAAACAACATGCCTCCAGAAACTCTATGAACTTAGATAAATGTCGATAGTTGTAGAGGGGCTTCAGGCCTTTTGTTCATAAGGTCGCTATGAGTTGTGTTTGACTCAAAGGCAATCTGCAACAGCAGCAATTATATATAACAATTTGATAACTTGTTAATTAAGCTATTAATTACCTGAAATTATCCAGGTTGTTGCATAAATAATCTTATTTAAAACACCAAATTTATTGCCATCAAGTTGAAACCAACTCATAACTCACCCAGCAGGTTTTTCCCAGGCTCTAAATCACATGAGAGGAAATTGTCATAAGTTTAAAAGTAATTTTGTTACAACTTATTTGTTGTTTACTTAAGTGCTGATGCTGCTAATACCTTTGACTTCCCTAACTTATATTTCACCCACTTTATGCAGAATATAAGTAGCAGTAGAAAGGCTAGTGATTTGTTTGTTTGTTTTCAGGCTTTTATAGGGTACTCCATCCTTTAAGGTTCTCACAGTTCCTTCAGCAACTCCAGGCTGGGGCTCTGGGGATACTGGGGCTGGCTGGACATGTCAGACATGGTCCCGTCATCTTAGAGGGATATTGAGTAACTGTAGGGGGTGACCTCATTGATCATGATGACATACTTGGTATAGGAGCTTAACGGGGCAGAATTAAAGCAAGGCCACCAATGGTGAAGGACAAAACCAGCACTTGCTCCTTGGCCCAGATGTTTTTTGGGGTGGGAGAAATCTAACAAGTTATAATCCAAATTAATGACAGAAAACAGTGAAGACAGCTCCAGAAATCTGGATGCTGGCACCTTAGCCTAGAGCCTTTAGGCCAAATTCTCAGTCCTGCCAATACTGGGTTCCTGCACCACCAATTGTCCAGTAAAGTTCTTGGTCCTGCCAGTATTGGCTCCCTGTGACACACACACCCCCCCCAGCCCCACTTCTGCCCCAAAGTCTCGTGATCTCATCTCACATCACCATCTCCCATCAGGTCTCTGGTTTGGCCATAGCTGCTGCTGCTATCTTGAAGCATGTTCTACATTTTTCTGTTTTTTCACCGGGGTGGGAAGGTCTCTTTCCTCTTCACTCACAGGGGAAGATGTGGCCCAGGGATTCATGAGGAAGGCTGTGAGTCTATCGCCATGTTGGCCTGAATGGCAATGGTAGCAGCAGGAGCTAGAAAGGCTAATTCTCCTTGATGGTATCCTATCATGTAGTGGCTATCTTCTCCTTTTCTCAGTTTTCAAACCAAGATCTGTTATCTTTCACATGTGCTACCTTCATTATCAGAAAAGTGCTTTTTTTTTAAAAAAAAAAAAGGTCTTTTTCTGTTAATACCTTGTTCACTTTTCATTGTCTATAACAAGATTTAGGTTTTATTGCATTTCTTTCTGGAATGACAGAGACAAAGAAATTATGTTCGGTAGCTAATTCATATTAGTAATTTTTACTGGGGTTTTTTTTCTGTCATGTTGGTTCTGATTCGTAGAACCTTGTGTGACAGGATAAAATTCCTACAATATAAATTTTAAGACCCATTATTTTAGAAAATGATACCAAGGATAGGATTTAATATGGATAACTTTCCTTTGACTCTTAGGTCCTTCAATCCGTTTTTCCCATTGCTTGGCTGTTTCACAACACCAGGAGTCCAGCTGTGGGCAGTTTGGGCAATGCAGCATGTCTGTAGCAAGAATCGTATGTATCAGAAGAGTCTCCTTTTCTTTTCTGAGTGGCATTTTTCTTTCATTTACCCTCTAATCTTTCTACTACCATTCCTAAATTATGTATCAAAGTGATTTTTAAGGATAAAAACTTCAAAATATACAATGTAAAAGGTCTTATACTAACTATAATTGTAATCTGTTCTTTTAGACGAGTACTTAATGAGAGTGCTGAATGAAACTTCCAGTGTCCTAAGTTCATGGAATTTAAAGATTCAGAGCCCTTTTGGTTGAAAAAAATGTCATAGAGAGGTTATACTTATGGTATATTCTAGTTCCGTATTCTCATTCATCTAAACATTATTAATTCAAGACATTATTCTCAATACTCATGGTCTCTGGAGAAACAAAGTGTTTATGTCACATTCCAAACCATTACTTTTTTGAAGGTTATGCTACAATTCATTCCACCAATGATCTGGGACATTGTTCAGGTAACACATAGAGTAAAATAATAATGCTTAAGTTTAAAAATAATCAAACACTTAAGACTCAGACAAAAATAGAGAAAGAATTAAGGGAGTTGGGGGAGATTGTTGAATCCAGACATGTAAGCCATGTATAAAGTTGGACAGTTGATAACCACTGCCGTAGAGTCAAATCCAACTCATAGCAGCCTGAGGAGAGAGTAGAATTATCCAGAGGGTTTTCAAGGCTATAAATCTGTATGAAAGCAAACTTACGTGTCTTTTCTCCCACAGCATGGCTGGTGAGTTCAAACTGCTAATGTTTTCTCTCACGGCCAAATTCTTTTACTACTTAGTCAACAGTGTTTCATTCACACTCTTTAAAAGGGGAAAAATATTTTCTATGAGGACAGGCAGATGGGTTTTGAGCAGAAGACTGCAAATTAACATTTTTATAAAGGGCCTTAGTAGGGAACATATTAAATGTCATAGGAAATAGGAGAGTTTGGATTTGGTTTATGTAGATACATATCTATATCTGTCTGTCTATCTATCTATCTATAAACAGCATACTTCTAGCAGAGGCAGTAATGATTTATATTGTTCCATACTTTAATGACTACCTATTATATACCACCAGAAAACAATTTAGTAAAAATGCTCCTAGTCATATAGACACAAAAGGAGAATTTAAAGAATGACAGCCTCAAGCACTCATTGCTGTCAAATTGGAACAAACTCATAGCTCACCATCCCCTGCGTTTCTGAGACTATAAATCACACAGAAGAAAATGGCCCAACTTTTTTGTGAAGAGCCACTGATGGATTCAAACCACCAGAGAGGCATGGCTTTGGTCTAACTCCCTCCACACTGGGGCATTGGGGTTTCCTTAAAGAAATGTAAGTAACAGAGAAAAAGACTCCAGAGCAGAGTTATTAGTTAACATAAGAATACCTCACTCGCTGCCTTAAACTGCCTCTAATCTAATATAGTCCCATTTTACTGGACCTTCAGGCTCTAAGCCATGACTCATCTGTCATTTTACTGTACTGTGGTAGATTGCATATTATTATCTTGCATGCTAGAAACTATGCCACTGGTATTTTAAATAGAAGCAAAGTCACCCATGGTTAACATGTTTAAATCCTATAAATAATTAAATTCTACAAAGAGCAACAGAATATTATCTGATACAGTGCCAAATGGTCAGCCTTTAGATTGGAAGGCACTTAAAATGTGACTAAGGAAGAATTGCCTCTTTAAAGTAGGGTCTACGTTAATGATGTTTATGGAGTAAATCTTCTACTCTGTTAAGGACCTTCTTTTGCTGAAGTGACATCACTCAAAACATATAGAAACAACCGCAATCATCCATTAATTCAAACATGAAATGTATAAAGTAGGAATATAGGAAAACTGGAAATTTTCAGAAATGGAACAGAACAGATAAAGATGGACAACACATTAATGAGCCAAACTAGACTTGTATTGGCCATTTTTAGTCAGATAATCATATAATCCACTATGCCAGGAATGACAAATTGAGGAATAATGGTTTGGCAGTCATCATCCAAAAGAACGTTTCAAGACATCCCCTGAAATATAGTGCTGTGAGTGATAGAATAAAATGTATGCACACTCAAGGAAAGTCTGTTAACGTGACTATTATTCAAACATGTGCACCAACTACCAAACTCAAAGAAATTAGGAATTTCTACTAACCTCTGCGGTTTGAAATTAATCAAATATGCAATCAAGATGCATGAGTAATACTTGATAACAAGCATGCAAAAGTGGAAGCAAAGGAGGAGAATTGGTAGTTGGGAAATTGAGCCTTAACAAGAGAAATAAGACCAGAGATTACATGATAGAATTTTGTACAGATAAGAAAAAAAGACCAAAATAGATGTCAGAAGGGCTTTGAAATTTTCTCTTGAAAATTAAGAAGAAAAAGCAAATGGAGAAAATGCTGAAGAAAAATGAACAGAAAATTTCAAAAGGCAGGCCAAGAAAACAAAAGTATTATAATGAAATGTGCTAGAATTATAAATTGGAAAACCAAAAAGGAAGAACATTCTCAGCATTTCTCAAACAGAAAGAATGGAAGAGAATATTCAAGCCTCGAGTTAAAACATTCTGTGTGAGTAAAACAATGAAAGAATCTTTTCTTTTACTTTTCCATAATTTTTGGACTCATGTACTTATAACTTGTTAGTCAAATTTGTGTCTTCTGGGTTGCAACACCCCCATGATACATCTTCAAGGATATGAACATGTACGGCCAAGCACAATCAATAAGAGTGCATCTAAATCCCAAAATCAATCTCCATAATAGTCTATGTGTTTCCTACTGCCAAAGGGGCCCTTTAGAGTAAGATCTACACCCTGAAACCCACAGCGTCCCTTTTCAGCAGGAAGTAGCTAAGAGAATACGCCATCCCCTTTTCCTTATGACTCAGGGTGAAGTCTCTCTCAGGGAGGAGTGATAGGGAATGGCAAAGGACACACTGACAAAGAAGATTAATCAGAACTGGCTTTGACAAGCACTGTGGCATTTGGACAAGAACAAACTGGGAGGAGGGTAGAGAGAATGGTGCAACAATGAATGAATGGAAGCCCAAAATCTCTGTAAATGTTTATGAAAATTAATAAAATATAGAAAAAAAAATTCTGTGTGAGTGAAATATTGAATGATGTAGAAACCAACAAAAATTGGTGAAAGGAATACGTAGAGGCACTGTACCATAAAGAATTGGACGAACCATTTCCGGAAGTAGCAAGAGCCTGTGGTAGGAAATGAGAAAGTTCAAGCTGTGCTGAAGGCATTGGGTAGAAGAAAAGAGCCAGGAAATTATGGACTGCCAATTGAAGTGTTTGAGCAAACAGAGCAGCTCTTGCTGTACTCACTCAGCTGTGCCATGGAATTTGAAAGACAGCTGGCTGGCTAACTGACTGGAAGAGATCCATATTTGTTCCTATTCCTCCCTCCTACCCCCAAAAAGGTGACCCAACAGAATGTGGAAATTATCAAGCAATGTAATTAATATCCCGTGCAACAAAAATCTTGCTGAAAATTATTTCAAAATTACCAGAACAGTATGTTGACAGTGAATTGCCAACAACTCAAAGCTGGATTCAGAAGAGACAAGGATGATGAAATTTTATTTCACATACTTTGGTCTTGTTGGAAGGGGCCAATTCTTTAAAAAAAAAATATGCTTGGAAATGTACAGGATACGAGAAAGAGAGGAAGAGCCTCAATGAGATGGACCAGTAACTGTAACAGTGGGCTTGAGCGTAGCAGAGACTATAAGGATGGCGCTGGTTAAGGCACACTTTCCATCTGTTGTTTTTATCAGTTGTAGTTGACTTGATGATACCTAAAAACAAAAACAACATCAATACAGGTTTTGAGAACTTCCTAGCTCCTTAAAAGTCCCATTTTTTAAAAAAAAGGTGGGGGGGGGGCATGGATCCTGTCTTACTGCTATCCCTTAAACCCTTAGACTACTATGTACCTCTAACTTCTAAAATGGACTATAACTTTAAAAGTGAAGGGAAAAAAAGAAATCAATAATGATGGGCTTTTTATATAATTATCTACTTTTTGTATCTTTTTATAGTGAGTGTTGTTATTATGTTCCATCGACCCTATGGACAACAACTCTGAAGCCTGCCCTGTTCAGAGCCATTCTCACTGATTCGGACACACTTATCCCCACTACCCCAGTTACTATATTAAACCATCTCATTCAGGGTCTTCCTCTCCTGCACTGTCCCTCCACTCTTCCAAGCATGATATCCTTCTCCAAGGACTGGTCCCTTCTGGCCATATGCTCAAAGTATGTAAGACAGAGCTTGAGAATCCTAGCCTCCAAGGAGAAACTTGGTTTCACCCTCTTTAAGATAGACTTACTAGTTTTCTTTGTGGTTCAAGACTTCTTCAGCACCACAACTCAAAGGCATCAATTCTTCTTCTGTCATCTTTAGTCATTGTCCAGCTCTCTGATTCATAGCAAAGACTTGGATCAGGTACACCTTAGTCTCTAGACTACATCATTGCATTTCAGTACTCTGGAGAGATCCCTGACAGCAGATTTTCCCAATGTAATTGGTAATTTTGTTTCCCAACTGTTGGTGCGAAGAGGGTTGATTGTGGATCCAAGTAAACTATAATTGTTAACAGTCTCAATCTCTTCATCTATCATGATGCTGCCAGTTGGCCCAGTGGTGAGGATATTTGTTTTCTTGATGTTGAGCGTCAGTCCATGTTGAAGACTATAGTCCTTGATCTTCTGCAGCAAATACCTCAGGTCCTCTTCATTTTTGGCAAGCAAGGTGTGTCGTCCGCATAATGCAGGTTGTTGATGATTCTTCCTCCAATGCTCATGCCACATTCCTCCTCAGAAAGTCCAGCCTCCCAAATGTTCTGTTCTGCATATAGATTGAAAAAGTACGGAGAAAGTATGCATCCCTTATGCACAGCTTTCCTGATCCTGAGAGTAGGAAAGATACCTTTATTCTCCTGAGAGGAGGCTAATACAATAATAATAAAGACATTTTTAT